GGAGTCCAAGTCACAAAATTCTTACCTGTGTTTCTACCTTCATGAGTTTTCTGTACTTTTCTAATAGCAGTTTCAGGGTATCAGGTCTTACATTAAGATCTTTGGCCCCTTTGCAGTTCATTTTTATGAAGGCAGAGAGATAAAGATCTGGTTTCACTCTTCTACATTAGATACCCAAATTTCCATGCACAATTTGTGGTCTACAGAACAAGATGAAGGCCAGACAAGGCTATATAATGAGATTATGTCTATAAACAAATGCATGAATAAATTCAAAATGTAAGAGATGGATACCTAGAATTTACTTCAAATTTGCTTGTTCCCTTCCCAAACATCTATTAATCAACAGTAAAAAATCATGAAGATGCTGAGACAGGAGACTGGTCAGGTTCTTGGTTCCCAAAATGTACAGTGGGTAGATATGAGCTCTGTGTAAGGAGTAATTAGAGCTTTGTACAGCATTTGTCTACTAAAGACCTAGGGGAAATGTAAGAAAGTCTATACCCAGCAATAGCTATTGCCTCTGACATAAGAAAACTTAAGAAAGTTATTTAATTGATATTGTTGGATCTTTCTGTATTTGGTAGAATTTTGGTCCATCCTGATAACAGATTTAGGTGAATGCTGAGAAGACTACAAGACAGAAATTAGCATTCTATCCCCAGTTATAAAAATCTAGAGTGTGTGGGGTTGGAAAGATGGCTCATTGCTTAAGAGCACTTACTGCTCTTATGGAGAATGAACACCCATTTTCCAGCACCCACACAGGATGGCTCAAAACCTCTGAATGGTTCGTTCCAAGGGATTTAACACATGTAGCCTACATAGGTACCTTCACTCACATCTACTTACCCACTAACACAGAGACAAGAAGACATAATTAAAAATGAATTTAAAGATTACATATACATATATGTGTGTGTTTGGGGAATAAAATAATATTCACCTATTTTTAAAAGATCTTAATGCTCCAATAAAGCCATCAATGCAATTAGAGCATTATTTTTGTGTCTATAGCAAATAACACTGTTATGGATGTACTGCTTTTACATAAGATTTTATATGATTTTTAAAAATTGTTTTCTGCTATTATGTTAAAGATATTTGGCTACCTAGGAAATCCTTTAAACAGATACTTCAGGTATCTGTATTAAAGTCTTTTGCAAGGCAGTTCTATAAGCATGATTTTTAATGTGCTTTTTAGTAGTTGTAATGGCCTGTGTATCAGTGGCTTTCAGAAGTATGTATCTACACATTATATATTAAATCAAAGTTTATACACTTAAAAGAATGTAAGTTTTGCATGTAGTAACATGGAAAGTGACACATAAATGCAGTTTGTGGTGTATTCTGATGTAAAAACCTGCTCTTTGGACACACACACACACAGACAAATAGACACACACACACACACACACACACACACACACACACACACACACACTTACTTCTTGGAGATAGGGTCCTCTTGGTATCCCTGGCTAGGCTGTCCCTGAACTCACATAGATCAACCTGCTTCGGCCTCCCTGGTGCTGGATGAAGGCACATGCCCACATGCACTGATTGACTGTGCTTTCAAAACCCCGATCTTTAACCTATTTGCCTCGGTTGAATCAGCATTTAGTGATTATAAATAAGATACACTTCCACACCATCTCTTTGCAAGGACTACTGTTCTTCTGTACAATTGTGAGGGGCCTTAATGTTTCCATTCATCAGTGCTGTGGTCATATTGTCCTAATGATCCTGAATTTTACCTCAGTGGCAGATGCTGACTAGATACCTGGCGGATTTTGGTGTATCTCTTCTTGGAATGATGCTGACTGTGGCTGGCTCTTTTACACATGTATGCTTAGCCTTCGAGGATTTAATGCTTGGGAAAAACTTCCCCAAAGGCATTCTCTAAAACATAATTATTAATGACACTAAGCACTTCAGGTTTTATGCTGGTATAATCCTGTTTTATGACTATCTCTTTAGCAAAATAAAAATAATAATAATTAAGTAGGCTTTCACACTTTACACCCTAAATGATGCCTGTTCATAATTGACAAATCTATAAACAAGTACTTAATTTTCAAATTGTTGTGACAATTATTTTTTTAAATTTATTTATTCTTATTTTATATACATTAGTGTTTTGTCTGCAAGTATGTATGTGGGAATCAGATCCCCTGGAATAGGAGTTACAGACAGTCCTGAGCAGTCATGTGGTTTCTGGGAATTGAACTCAGGACCTCTGGAAGAGCAGCCAGTGCTCTTAACTGCCGAGCCATCTCTCCAGCTCCCAATAATTGATTTTTATAAAGTTTTGTAAGTACTGTCTGCTGACATTCTGCAGAGTAGTTCTTAAGGGTTCCTTTGTGAGACTTACGATGTTTGCATTCTACAGAAGCACAAAGATACCCAAACAAGTATTTTGAAGATGCTAGGACTTCACATAGAAGACAATCAAAATGGGATCCAGGTTTGCTTGACCCAAGAGACACTCTATACATCTGAGCTTTGCTACAGGCATCACCTGGCTTGCTCAGTAGAAGCCTGACCCCTAAAGGATCCTCCAGCAATGGCTGCTAACACTTTCCTCCTTTCTCTCGGCTACTCTGTGCTAAGAAGGAAGCTTCTGATTCTTCTGTTTGCAGACAAGGGCTCTCAGAAACTCATGACCTATGTGCACACTGCACAATGACTAAGCAGATACTTCCTCAATGCCAGGAGTGACAGGCACCCCAAGGCAACTTGGTTTGTGCCATCTTTTCCAAACGACCTCACTAGATCCTGAGTACACCAACATGTTTTGAAAACTGTTTCCACATGTGCAAAACCAGATTTGGGTCAGTTTCAGAACTCATGATGTTTACCAGGTTCTAGCTAAGCTTGCTACACACCCATCTATTGGCAAGCATGCTTCTAGAAAGGGAGGCTATTACAGTCAAAGAAACTACAACAGGCAGGTCAGAAATGAGACAATGCTGACATGACAGTGAAAGAACATTCAGCATCTACCAAAGCGAAGGACCTTTATCCACTCCTAAGAGATGTGGAAAGGACAATGCAGAAAGTTATTTCCCATAAACCATTTCACGTTTCCGCCCTTCTTCCCACTCAAGTCAAAAATCTTCTGAAGGAACAGTAGTAATACATAATCCTCTGGTATGTCAGTCTGTCCCAGCTTCATCCTGAGTCAAAAGCACATCCAGAGCCTGGGTTCCAGTCCTGCTGGCCCTGGGAAGTGACACAGCCTCCTAGGCTCTTCTATCAGAGAACCCCAGGGGTCACAAGGAGATGTTTGGCAGAGGCCTTCTGATTCCAACTGGTAAATAGCCAAGTCTAGAAATGCCCCCTTTGGGAGAATGAAGCTCTGAAAAGATCCACCCTCCAAGGTGTGTCCAGGGGGAGAAACATGGGCAATAAATAACAAGCAGAAAAGGATACAAAAGGAATTCCTGTCTACTAGCAATTATTTGTCTTTACAGCTTTGTTTATTTGTTTGGTTTATGGTTTGTTTGACATTTTTGAGACAAGGCCTTACACTTTGTGGTCCCAGCTGGCCTTGAACTTGCAATGATTCTACTGAGAGTTGGAATTATAACAGGTGTGTGCACAGTACAAAAGGGTCATTGTGCAGCTCTGATGACAATTGGGATAGAGCTCTGCTCATCTGTGAAGACTACCAGCTCCTGTTGTGTGATGAGCACGGTTGAGTACAGTCTGGCTAGAGTCAATAAATGACACTCAGGAGAGCCAGCCCTGCACCAGCAAGGTTCCCCCTGAGTGTTTTAGCTATCTTCCCACCAGCTCAACCTCTCTTTTCATCAGACTTCCCATTCCAAACCCCACTATACTGAAAGTCATTTCCTACATTTGTTTATGTGAGAATCTTTTTTTTTTTTTTTTTCCGAGACAGGGTGTGTAGCTTTGAAGCCTATCCTGGCACACGCTCTGGAGACCAGGCTGGCCTCGAACTCACAGAGATCCTCCTACCTCTGCCTCCTGAGTGCTCGGATTAAAGGCGTACGCCACCAAGGCCCGGCTTTTATGTGAGAATCTTAAGTGGCTTCAAAATGCTACTGGAAAAGACGTATGTGATCTAAAGCAAGGGCTGGAGAAGTGACATTTTAACCAGAGTCATGCACTGGCCAACAGAGGTCTCTGCCAGGACTAGGGACACTCAGGAGCAGCCACTGGTGCTCTCTGTGCTTTGGTATCTCTAACCAATGGCTTGTGGGTGACATATAGAAAGCCATTTTCTGATTTTCTTCACTATTAAAGACAATTGTAAAGAAAAAACATAGGGGTTGTGGATATGGCTCAGCGTCTAGAGTGTTTCCTGGCATGTATAAGGCCTTGGGCTCAAGCCCCAAAAGCCCATAAACTGGGTTTGATGGTTGTGGTACATGCCAGTAATCCCAGCACTCACTTCATGCTGACAGAAGATTGAAGTTCAAGGTTATCCTTAGCTATACAAGTTTGAGGCCAACTTAGGCTATACAAGACCCTATCTCAAAAAAGAAAAGAAAGATGAAGTAAAGAAATATTAACTGTAGTCATGTCTCATAGTAAAACAAAGTTTCTTCCAGAGGAGACAGGAGTTAGCTTAAAATAAACAAGCTAGGTCAGAATTAGCATATGCCTTAACTAGAGTATGTTAACTCATTCTTTCAAGGCAAATACAGGCATGTATCACCCAGGAACCTGGGTGGGGAACATGGGCTGCCATTAGTTTTCCCCACCAGGATGTAGTGAGGAGGGTGAGCCTCTCAGAAGGACACACATGGGACAGGATGTGGCTCTGGCCTCATCCATTGTGCTTCTGGGTGGAGCACATGCTGCCCTAAGACAGAACGGTCAGAGCAGAAAGACTGAGGGAGACACACCTTTGTGTGGGAGGGTCAAATGCTGGTTCTCAGAAAGATGCAAAGAATTCACACCTCGGCGGGGGGGTGGCCTGCTCGCCTCCCCTCCAGCCCCTGTTGTCCCCCCCCCCTCCGCCTCCCGCCCTTCCCCTTCCCGCCCGCTCTCCGTTTTCCCTCAGTCGACTGGAGCCTCCAGTTTTGGCTTTCACTCCCACCAGTGACCAAAGACTTGACCACTCCAAGTCCAGCTCCCTGTAACTACTAGGCATGGACACCGGTGTGATTGAAGGTGGGTTAAATGCCACTCTCACCAGCAGGCTACTTATGCATGGAAAGGAAGTTGGCAGTATCATCGCAAAGAAAGGAGAATCCGTTAAGAAGATGCGCGAGGAGAGTGGTGCCCGGACCAGCATCTCAGACGGGAACTGTCCTGAGAGAATCATCACTTTGGCTGGCCCGACTAATGCCATCTTCAAAGCCTTTGCTATGATCATTGACAAACTGGAAGAGGGCATAAGCAGCTCTATGACCAATAGCACAGCTGCCAGTAGACCTCCCGTCGCCTTACGGTTGGTGGTTCCTGCTAGTCAGTGTGGCTCTCTCATTGGGAAAGGTGGTTGCAAGATCAAGGAAATAAGAGAGAGTACAGGGGCTCAGGTCCAGGTGGCAGGGGATATGCTTCCCAACTCAACTGAGTGGGCAATCACTATTGCTGGCATTCCGCAATCCCTCATTGAGTGTGTCAAACAGATCTGCGTGGTCATGTTGGAGACTCTCTCCCAGCCCCCCCACCCCCACCCCAAGGGCCTGACCATCACCTACAGGCCCAAGCCCTCGAGTTCTCTAGTCATCTTTGCAGGTGGTCAGGACAGGTACAGCACAGGCAGCGACAGTGCGAGCTTTCCCCACACCACCCAGTCCATGTGCCTCAACCCTGACCTGGAGGGACCACCTCTAGAGTTGACCAAGCTGCACCAGTTGGCATTGCAACAGTCTCATTTTCCCATGACCCATGGCAACACCGGATTCAGTGCAGGTTTGGATGCATCTGCTCAAACTACTTCTCATGAACTCACCATTTCAAATGATTTGATTGGCTGCATAATCGGGCGTCAGGGCGCCAAAATCAATGAGATCCGTCAGATGTCTGGGGCGCAGATCAAAACTGCAAACCCAGTGGAAGGATCTACTGATCGACAGGTCACCATCACTGGATCTGCTGCCAGCATTAGCCTGCCTCAGTGACCTTATCAATGTCAGGAGGCATGGGGAGCAGCTAGAGCAGTGCAGGTTCATCCGTGATCCCTTCCTGCTCTTCACCACCACCCATAATCCATCTGTGTAGTTTCTCAACAGTCATCGTTTCCAGGTTTTAAATAGTTTGTAAATTTTCAGTTTCTACACACTTTATCATCCACTCATGATTTTTTAATTCAAAACGTTTTAATTCCTTTCTCTGTTCAGCAATTATGCTGAGATATCCATATTTAGTTTTATAAGCTTCTCCCCCTTTTTTCCTTTTTTTTGGATTTTTTTTTGGCTCATGAACTTTTGTTTGTCATGCAAATGTAAGAGTGGAATATTAGTACATTTCAGTTTAGTTCTGTAATGTCAGGAATTTTTCAAAAAAAAATTAAAAGATGGACTGGGAAAAAAAAAAAAGAATTCACAAGTAGCACTGCCCACAGCAGCTAAGGCAGACAGCAAGTGCTTTAGAAAAATGGGTGTGAATTTTCCAGGCAGAGTTGGGGGCAAGTTGGGGGCGGGGGTGCAGAAGTCCAGCATTAGATGGGTACGTTAACTCAAGGAATGTTTATAAAACATACACGCTCATAACTATCACCCAGAGTAAGAAAAGACATGCTGACAGAACAGCCAAGAGACCCCACTGGGCCATCCTCATCAGTTATTACTGTTTGAGGTGTACTTTGAAGACTGTAAAATTTCTTTCAAATGTCTTAAAAACATCTTTTCTGACCCCAATATTCATGGGAGTTCCCTTGGAAAGTGACATTTCTCCTGGAAATCACAAAGCACGGTGCAATGAAGTACCTTATATGTGACCTTGTTTTCCTTCCTTAATTGAAATTTGAAGGTTAATCATCTCTGCATGACAGCACATCCCATAATCATAGCCTCCCCGAAGGCAGGTGTGGGAGAACCACTTACATCCAGAAGTTCAAGATCAGCCTTGGCAACATACTAAAGACCCACAGCTTTGAAAAGAAAACTTTACCCCAACACTTCAGTTTCATATAACACACACACACACACACACACACACCTGAAGATGCCATAAATGAATGAAGATACATGTCTAAGTTTATATTTGAATTATATCACAACTCTTGTACAATATAAATTGTGCCTGACCCCCCAAAAAAGCCCAACATTGTATAAAGTTTTATGAAACATGAGACAGAATGTTGCATTTAAATGTTTTAATAATTCAGAACTCCATTGATATGAGACACAATTGCTCCTAGAAGCACTGAGCTATTCCCGAGGGTATGATGGGCACCAGAGACACTCCATTTGGGGGTTGTTTTCTTCTCGGCAAAACTGGCCTATTGGGCAAAGAACTGCCCTTGTCTTAACTGCTGACAATGGACACACTGTCCTAACTGGACAAGAAGGATATAAGAAAAAGAGACTGGTGAATCTTGCCAAGTCAGGGTAGGACAGTCTTTTGAATTTTCCTGCTTCTGAAAATGGTCTGTCAAATATTCTAGGCCTTCTTAGCCAAAGTCGGTTGTCCTGACGTTACTGTGAGACCTTGGATGACTGTCCAGGTAACCAACCGTTTCTGTCATTTCTTGCACATTTGGCAAGTTGCCTGCTTGCACTTCCTGCTTACCTGGGTATATTATTTTCCTTCTCAGGTCTTTGATGGGGTTAAAGACTAGATACTCTCAGCTACTATTCTATCATATCTTAGCTGAGATATTTTAGGTACACAACTTAGACCCCTCAGGATAGGACAGCTGTTGGAATAATCTCTTTTATTTGGCAACTACCTACAGCCTGGACTTTTAGTGTGTGTTTCTTGCTTGCTGATGTTCTTGTTGGTTGTAGTTCTAATTTTATGTACGTTTTTACCTTTTCTTTCTCCTGGTCAATATTTTGATATTTGTTCTTATTGTATATAGTTTTGTATTTGGTTTAGAACCTCTTATTTAGACAAAAAAGGAGAATTGCTCTGGGAACTCATTCAGCCAATAGTCTTTGAGGTACCCACCCCTTTGGGGTGCAGTCTCGGGTTCTATGGATGTACTGGGAGCAAGCGCTGGCCCTCTCTTGGGTAGTGGTCCCAGAGCTGAAAGCAGCATCCTGTGCCTCCAGGGCAGAAGGCTGTGGTGGCCTTTTACCTTTGTTGTGTAAGTGTTCCCCAAATAAATATTTGATAGTCTTTTATATCTGGGCATTCGGGAACTCCTTTGCTTCACTGACAGAAACACACACACACACACACACACACACACACACACACACACACACACACACACACACGAATATATTTTAAAACCATAGGGGTCTGTAATCCAATCAAAGTGACCCTTTCGCAAATGAAGACTGGTATCAATGGAAAATGGAAGCAGCAGCTCTCACTTCAAAGAAACAGAAGACCCAGTTTACTCTAAAGCCAAATGTGAGTGATCATGTCCTAGGAAAACAGATTTGTGTCTTCCCAAGTACCATGCTCTGAGGAGATAGCAACTTACGAATTTTTATAGTAAGAGGACAAAGAAAGCCATAAATCAAGACACCTTTTAAATATATCGGTGGGCACATCAGGTATATTAGCAGGTCATAGCCAGATGAACAGAACTTCACAATGGGCCTCGGATGCTGACAACACTCTTAGTCCTTTGACTGATGGAAGCGTAGGGTTTGGTTAAGCTAATACATTTCAGAACGGTTTTATCTGTTAGTCACAGGATGTTAAGCATGAGAGAGGGAGGCAAGGAACGGCTACTTAGTGACTTCAAGATAGTCTGAGATAAATTATAAATAGGCTTTGGGCTTGCAACATAGTAGCCTTTCAGCGTTACTAGCATTCTAATCAATCAGCCTCTGCAGACACAGCTCCTGTACAGGAATTCTGATTCACAGTTTCCCTCATTGGCCAACCATCAAATTTTGTCCAGGCTGGGGATATATACTATTTATTAAATATTATAATGTCCCACATAGCTAGGAAGGTTCATTTCTAGGATATGATAGAGATGAGGATGAGCAGAGAGCAAAACAGCAGTCTTTAGAGAATGGAATAGCTGGTAAAGCCATTAAGAAAATCTTGGACCATATCAATAGTATTAGCCATCATTATATTCACACTGGACAAAACATAAAAGGCAAAATACAAAGACAAGCACCTCAAGAAAGCACCTGAAGGTAAGCAAAAAGCAGGAGAATTCTGGAAGTGAGGTATAATCACAGGGGCACTAAAAGGGTCACCACGATGGTCCCTGCATTTACCCAGCAGCTGGAACACTGATGGGAAAACCAGTCTTGAGTGTGTGACACCTGTAATCCCTGCACTTGGGAGTTGGAGTCAAGGAAAGAAAAATCCTGTTTCAAAGATGGGAGGCAGAACAGAGGACATGGCTAAGCAGTTAAGAGCACTGGCTGCTTTTGCAGAGGACCTGGGTTCAGCTTTCAGCAATCACATGGCAGATCACAACCATCTGTAGCCAGTTCCAAGGGATCCAATGCCCTCTTCTGGCCTCGGTGAGCACCAGGCACACAAAGGCTTGTAGCTTGCCACCTGAGTTTCTGGCTCTCTCCTCCTCAGGCAGGCAGAGATCCACAGTCTTTCCTTCCATGGGGACAACAACAATAACAACACTCATCTGGGCTATCAGCAGGGCCCAGGCTGGACTCAGGAAGCTGTGATTGCCCACACCTTGTCTAGAAGGCAGATGTGGCTGGCTGCTGAGGGCTGGGGCACAGTGGAGGGTCTGTCTCCAGCTCTGTGCTTCCCAGTGATCTTTAAAAACATGATGAGGAACAGCTCTAAGTGGGTGGACAGAGGCACTGAGCATCCTGGTACACACAGTTTTGAGAGCTGCAACACCAAGCAGCACAATGGTGAGACAGCTGTGGCCCCATTTCATACTCAAACAGAAGGCCTCTGCCCACTGTGCTCCTCCCCACATCAGGCACCAGGAGCAAGTCACAGGCTCACACTTTCCCCTTTACAAGTTCGTTTTGTTTCCAAGGCCTTGTGTTATCCTCCAGGGTTTTATGTTTCGCATTATTTTCAGTTTCCAGCAATTACCTGTAAGCTGTGTCTGTCTCAAGAGACCTCAGCAAACTTGTCCTACACAAATGGCTATCTGTGATGACTTGCACTGCACCACAGGGATGGTCAAACCCAGGGTGCTTCTTTGGCATGAGTGAAACAAAGTCTACACGGCTTCCCAGCCTGATGACCCAGGAGGGCCACAGAGCACTCATCAACTGCCAAGTCACATCCAGATGACAGAAAATGCTGGGCAGGAGCACAAAAGATCAGCAGTACACTATAACTTGCTGGGGTAAGTTACCAGGGAAGAGGTACAACACTGTGCACATGAGTCACAGACAGCCACATTCTAGACAGAAAGGCCAATGCAGTCTGCTTGCACATGAAATCTTGGCTACCTGGTGAGCCGATGCCAGGGAAATCACTGGAACCCAGGAGTTTGAAGCTAGCCTGAGCAAAACAGCTCGATCCCATCTCAAGCTTTAAAGAGGGCCGAGAGAAGCAAGGTATAAAGCATTCACTCACTGATAGGCATTTACTGAGCACCTACTGTATACCTCATGGCATCCTAAATCTTTAAGTACTATAGCTAACATGGCATGCAGGTCAGTGTACATACATACATGCAGGCAAAACACCCATATACACAAGATTAAACAAATACTTAAAAATAGGGGTGAGGAAGGGAGGTAGGGGATGGGCTAAACAATTTTAGTAACTAAAAAAGTCAAAAGTTGGGGGACATTCGTCATTTGGCTATGTTTGAATGTGCCCCTTGGCAGGTCACATGCTGGAAGTTTTGTATGAAGCAGGGCAGTGTCAGGAGGTCGTAGAACTACTAAAAGGCAGGGCCGAGTGCAAGGATATCCGTTCACAGGGATATGCCCTCAAAAGACATTAAAGGAGTTCTAATGAGAACCCAGCAGGTCCCTGAAACAGTAAACTTTTACGAGAGAAAGCCTGGTTCCTTTAAACCTCTCTGGCTTTCTCTCTTAACATGTAATCGC